CCCCCCCCCCCCCATGTACAAGGTCAATAAAATTTGAACCCCTAAGAAAAAAAGATCAAAGTGCCCACACAAACACCCGCCCCCCCAGAAATTTTTGCTTTACCCCTCAGAAAAAATGCAAAGATCAAAGGATGCACACAACCCCTCAGAAACAGCTTTTTCAACCCTCTTATAGAATGAAAAACGTCCCTGCTGAAAGCCACACAAGTCCACAGCAAGAAGACCAAAGTAGTTCTGATGAAGATATGTCACCTGAACAAAAAGGTAATGAATCAACATTTTTATGTGTAATATATTTCACTCAACTTTCCACTTAGTGTTGGCACCTCCATCCTTGCTCTCTCAAACCTTTTTTCTGTTTCCCTTGACTGATCAAGACAACATTGTCTTGTTTCAGAACTGGAGAAAGAATTTAAACACAAACGTAAACATCACTATAATGAATATGGGAATGTGAAACTTGCAAGAGAATTGATTGAGAAAGAACTGGCTGAGTTAGAAGATGATGAGACTGCACAGGTAACAGCCTTTATAGCACCTAGGCTGGATGTACATAAGTAAAGATGGTTTATGCTGATTATTAACCCATCATCGAGTGACAGCACTCTCCCCTTGACAAGTAAAATTGTCTGGCATTAGATAGAGTAAAATCACAAAGTAGGACACATTGCCACTTAAAGAGTCCTGGAAACTGTCTTTCTTAAGGCCCATTTACACAATACGATTAGTTGTATACGATTGTCATTCTGACAAATGAAAACGAGTGCTAATGCCACGTTATTGCGCATTCGCTAATGGCGAAATTTGACGTTTGTACACGTGTTTATTCGATCACATACGCCAGAGTAAGAATCGTATACAACTATAAATCGTACCGTGTAAATGGGCCTTTATACGTACCTCAACACTGGACCCCACTACACAGGGGTACACGGTGTGACATCCTGGATCTGGTCAACATATTACAGATTGTCCCCACTTCAAGATGTATCTAACTGCCACTGCCACTATGTCCCTTCTTCATGAGCACAATAATGTCAGCTTGATTCTATTGCCTTTCTTGCCTCAACTAGTAAAACATCAAACTAACCTTGTTTAACTTTGCTCTAGGGGTCATAAAAGGAATAATGTAATGGCAAATGGTGATCTTCTGGTTGCTTACCAAACCAAGATGTTTGCACAAGGAAATGCAAAATGTACAAAAATTATAACAAATACCTTGAACTGCAGATGACATAGCTCACTGGAAGATTTGTTGATGGCTTCTCAGTATTCGCTCAACTCTATTATCAACATTTGCAGATTTTAACTTAATGACTTACAAACAATACCAAGGCTTGTATCATCACATTGAAATATGAGTAGATGTAAAATTAGTTTTGGATATCTACATGTACCAAAGGTCTGTTTCAATTGTGTAAAGAAAGTTTCAGTGCAAAATCTGTCGTGTTTGTATTTATTAACAAAATATCGACTTCTAACTATTCCACACTACAAAATCCCAAGACATTGTTCTTGTACTTTCCAGATTGAAACATCCTTACTTAGATTGGATTTTTTTTAATCTTACCTGCTTGGTTGCTAGGCTGAACATTCATAAATATAAAAATATTTTGAAAAATACTGCAAAAATAATTGTATATTCATCATGGAGAACAGTAAGACAGCATGCATCCTCTCATTGTGTGACACTAAACAACCCTCTCGGTGAAGATCCAGGTGTGGCACGTCGGGCTAACACTGGTGATTGACGTCGTCTGCCCGGGCTGACGTCACTTCTGTTGTAGGGCGTTGCGAACGTGTCCACTGGGTTGCGGCCATCATTTGGGTATGGGCTTTGATGTCCATAAGGAGACACCCCAGGGTAAGGGATGGGCCTCTGTCTACGGGCTGGTCGGCATAACAATATTAGCACTAAAATAACGACGATAGTCAACAAAATTATCAAAATATTACGGACGTTAAAACTATCCTTGTCCGGACAGGCAGGCCCAGGGCATTGGTTAGCAGAACTCAACTGTGGAGCAGGTAGTAGTGATAAATACGAGACATTGATTGTTTCAATCTGTGTTGTCAAACCACTCTTTATTTCAATGATGGCGTCCTCAAATGATGCAGTGTTAGCATCAGCCAACAATATGTCAAGGAAGGCAACATCTGAATCATGACGTAACTTAACAAGCACTGATGACGATTGGGAGTTGACCTGGAATAATTAACAAGATTAAATAAGGAAATAATTAAGCCCCAGTGGTCAAACGAGGGTGGAGAGTTGACGACAGTTGAGAAGTGAGGGTTGCTACGAGAGTTTTATCAACTCTCATGCCCTGGACAAACGAGAATAAGAGTTGCATGAAAGTTGACGACAGTTGAGAAGTGAGGGTTGCTATGAGAGTTTTATCAACTCTCATGCCCTGGACAAACGAGAATAAGAGTTGCACGAGAGAACCCTGATCGCAGCAATACATATGAGTCAATTTCCTCAGAGGTTGTTATTGGGATCAAGTGGAAGCATACTCCAGCACAAAACACGCAGTCTTCATGTCAGCTTGGAGACTCAATCATAACTCACCTGCAAACTTTGCAACATTTCATCTGTGCCATGAACCTCGAGACTTTCTCCCGCCTTACTCAATCTCACTTCTTGTCTCGCCAACACAAATGACGGCACAAACTCCAAATCTACGAAACCTGAAGTAAACTCCAATCCTTTGCTGGGGTCCTGCAGTGTCACAGATAAAACCAGGTTTGCCTGAGAGTTAGATAACACTTTAGCATCATCAGTAGACAGTCTTTTCGGGAAAATAAAACATGCACTCTTTCCATTGTCATATCCAGCTTTGATATTAAATAATTTATCCGTGGTTAAACCATGAGGCTTTTCAAACGATAACACACAAGTAAATGGAAACTGTAGTTTTGCGGCTGATGACGTATCTTCGAGGACGTGGCAATCGCAACCAGGCAGAGGGGTGCTCCTCTGTTTACCAAAGTCGATGTGAACAACGTAACTGCCATTAACATCTGCTCCAGGGCTGTTGGATATGACAGTCTTGTCTGGATTAACAATCTCTACATCGCTGACGGAACTAACTTTTGCTTCAATGTAAGTAGGAAGTGAAACAGAAGCGTTGTAATAGACTAAACTGTTACCACTACTGGTTGCTATAGCAATGCCTGTGTGGGGATCAATGCTGAGTATATTGTCTTTAGAGGCCCACCATAGCCCGTTATCTAAAGGAGAGAACAGGGAATATATCAACAATGAATATAAAGAATAAAGTTGAACCTCTTTCTCGTACCAGATTCTGTACATTTTAAGCTCCTTGCTACACATACCTTCATCTCCCATCACTGTTTCCTTGAAACAAATCATTTCTCCAAGAAAATATGTTAATCGGAAAGGTACTATAGCTTGAGTAGCTCTCAGATGAACAAAATCTGCGATATGAGGAGACGACACGAGCCAAACCTGCAGAAATATCCAGTATAAATAAAATAAGTTTATGTTTCCTCCTGTAGTAACACTGAATCAATAAGGGGTGATCCTTACTGGACCTCCAGGAAGAACAGTTTAGAACTGATAGAGCTATCCAGTGTAAATAAAGTTAGTTTAGTTTAGGTTTCCTCCTGTAGTAACACTGGATCAATAAGAGATGATCCTTACTGGACCTCCAGGAAAAACGGTTTAGAACTGATATAGCTATCCAGTATAAATAAAGTTAGTTTAGGTTCCTCCTGTAGTAACACTAAATCAATAAGAGATGATCCTTACTGGGCTTCTAGGATTAACAGTTTAGAACTGGTAAAGCTATCGAGTATAAATGAGTTAAAATACTTACATTCAAGATGGCTTCACCATTATTATGAGCTCTGATAGAATATGTTCCATTGTCAGGGCCTTGCGTTACGTGTATTGAATCAAATCTAGTAAGAAATGATCATGGCGTGACACACTGACAATGTTTCATGTATGATATACTACCAGGATTACCTGTTTAATCTGTGTTTAAGAGGAACATTTCCAGAATCAAACTTTCGTCCAATATTATCATGAAGAAACACAGAAAATATGGCGCTCATTCCCACAGGGAATGCGTGGAGCTTGTGCGACAGAGTGTGGATGGCAGACTGGGGAGTTATGGAGATGGACGCCACTGATTTCACCTGCAAATACAAAAATAATCATGTAGAGAAAACATCGTGCTCATTCTTACTGGAAGTGATCACAATATATAAACCAGCGTCTTCTCACTTCAACATGGACCACTACAGTCTGATTGACTCCAAAATCCTCTCGTGACGTCACCAGTATCCCAGCAGTCCCAGAGATCATTCCAGTTTCAAGGAGCCCGCGGTTATTGATGGTCAACAGTGGCCGTGAATCACTACGGGGAGATTGGGGACAAACATCCATGATATTGTAACTTAGCCTCCCACCATCCCTAAAGAGGAAAAAATAAACTTTGAGGTGAAATAATCACACAACTGTAAATTGCTCAAACCTCGGAGATATGTCTTCTCACGTGAGGTGAAATAAAAACTGTATATTGCTCAAACCTCGAAGCATCGCGAGTCACGCACCTGTTGGTTCTAATCCTCACATTGACGTCATGAGGTAACAGCAACTGACCATCAGACGGCTCAATCAGACGTAATTTCTCAAACACCTAAACATTAAAAATCACATCATCAAAACATCGTTTTCGGTATACATTCCAAATGCATTGTTTGCCAGATCTAGTAATATTCAAACCAAACGGTTAACATCACCAGTTTACATCACCTGTATTCTGACGTCATCATATAGATGCGCATGCGCTATTGCTTGTTCATAGGAAGGCTGAGTGAAGACAGCTTGTAGTTTGATCACTACTTCTCCTGGGTGGTTACATGACAGCACAACGCGAAATGCTTTCTCAGAATCAATCGTGATACCACTCTAGAATGGAAAACATAGAATTTGGATTAGTTTTGATGTTGAGAGAAAAATCATTAAAGTACACAAGAGAATCTTTGTTTACATGACACACGTTTTTAAATCTAGGCTACCTTACAAAACACTAAAGGATTACCTTTTCATAAACAGATTTGAGTTTACAAACATCAATATTACTGGATGTCCAGTGAAACTCCAGACCAGGAATGGCGTTCGCAAAACTAAAGGGAGTCTCATCATTCATGCCAACAGCTCTTAAACCAATCTGAAATACACAAACAAAGTCTTTATTGAAGTGTTGGCTGTTGATCTCTCTGAAATAATGTCTTTATTAAAGTGTTGGCTGTTGAAACACTCTGAAATAACATATGCATACAGTACACTAAGCGCGAAATGTTAGTCTGGGACAAAATATTTTCTCACCTCTGTTTCTGTGACAAGGTTTGTTGAAGGTGTAAATATTTTCACTCCACTAAGACGTAATACTTCCACAATCACGTGATCCTGAAATAGAAACGTACTTCATTTTCCTGCGAGTCAAGATTTCAACCTCGTTCAGGTTTGTTACAAATCACTGTAGGGGGGGGGGAACGAAGGCCCTTTTTGACACAAGATTGCTTAACTTAGATTACAAATCCTAGCTGCGTTAGTGTCAGATAATATGTTATAAAGTGTAACATATTGTAAAAGACCGCGTCTCGCCTTTTATAATTATGACGTGATGGGGGCCCCCTTGGAAAATTTTGTCCCGGGCTCCACGCATCCTCTCGCCGGCCCTAGATCAAACGTGAAGAAAGTTGATGAATTTAACCAACCTTCGAGAAGACGATGGTGTGGCCAGATTGAGGATCAGTTGCCTCTACAGCCCCAGTGATTGTGGACTTTCCTGGAACGCGCGCTGTTATCAAACCAACACTGTCTACTGACGCCACTGTCTCATTCTTGATGCTGAATAATGTTGTTACTTGAGGGTATGGGCCGCCTGTGGCCTTCAGTTGGAATGTCGCGCCAGGTATGAGGATGATGTACCTGGGATCTAGTCTTAACGGAGGAAATACCTGCAACATACAATAGAAATATCGCAAATTCAATCTCAATTCCATTTCATTATTATTCACTCCCCATTGTGCCTTTCGCACCTATTTGTCAGCAAAAACAAGACTGCTAAATATATCTGAAATTTACCTGGATATGTTTTGGCTCGCTTGTTATCTGAAGTTTGTTGGCAGGATGCGCACTGTAGGTGAGGATTGTGTTACCAATAGCAACGCCACGTAAGTTGTAAAAAGCCTTGTCCAGCCCTTTCCTTGCACTCGGTCTGGTAGAATGAAAAACGCAAAGTTTAAATTTCAAAATGTCTCGAAGTAAGTTGAGAAATCTCTGTGATCAACATCATGTCCCTCGTATCAAAAATCAAACTTACTTGATATTCAATAGATCACGTGACAGTCTGGGTGTGAGATTGAGTAGTTCCAGTTGGCTGACCAACAGTGGTTTATCCAGCTCGTCCAATACCATCACAGTACAATTGATCACATGACCAAGTTCAACCTATCAACGTTCAACATAAAAGTTATGTAATGTGGAGTTCCAGCCGGGCTCTGGTGTACACAATTCATTTTGTATAGCAAGGTAAGGATAAATCAATATTATCCTATTCTATCCACCGCAGAAATAAACATTACCCCACCTTATCCACAACCGCCACGTGAATACTATCAATATCTGAAACCCGGATGTTAGCGGTGGCAGAGTTGGGAGAATCTAAACATTGATCATACACTGTGACAGTTAGAACTCCAGTCATCTTGGGAGTGACCTGAAACAAGAATGAAACATCAAAGACCAGTTTCTCGTGTTGACTGTTCTGAGCATACAACACGTATCAAAGCAGGCTGTTGTTCAGTTATCTCTGGCAAGCTACAAAACTCGCTGTTTTACTAATTCTTATATGGCGAGAAATCAACCGTATAACAATTCCGTCATAAATAATTGATCAGAGTGTTGATCAGTTTGCCGCTCAAACTCCAAGATTACGTACTAGTGTATGTCATGATTTAGACTCAACTTACTTTCACAATAGATTTCGTTGCAGCAACACTGGCAATATCGTCGTCGCTTCCTTTCACAAGGAATCTGCCTGAACCACCGTAGATAGTGAGATCGACCTGACAATAACATAATAAACTAAATAATGTCTACAGTGAATTACGGTAAACACACTACAACAGTACACATTATGATGTTTGCCACAATTACTGGTGGGAGATATTTTCTTTACGGACTGTATGCAAATATAAGCGAGTTTTGAGTTAAACTAAGAATATTTACGCGTAAGAGTATTTGCTAACGAAGAGTTTTCCAACTCGTTCTTGGTACTGTAGGATTTTAGATAGAAAACACACAAACTATCGTGTTCCAATATTTTAAAGACAAACCTTGTTCATGGGATGGTTAAATATTGAAGCGTGTTTAGGTTCAATGCGTATGTCACTTGTTAACGACAATCTCAGTGAGGCGGTCAAAGCTTTCTTCAACGTTTCCTGAAAATATACAAAACGTGATTAATCCTTTATTGGAAATCCATTCCACGAAAATACAACGATACTAGTTTACGAGTCTAAGCTGTTCTTCTTAGAAGTCCAACAACAAACTGGAAGCACTCTTCTCACATGTGACTGAGGTGAAATTATAACAGGGCTCGAAATAACGTTCCCAATGTTCCCGATCATGGTGATCGGCAATCACGACTTTTTGCCGATCAATTAATAATCTGGCCGATCAGGAGCAAATTTGCCTAAGTTTCTTTGAAAAGAAAAATTATAAATATGCCAGTGAATACACATCTGAACAGGAAGTTTAACTTTATTTCAAATTCAAGTTTAAATCTACGACATTTGTTGACTTATATATATATAATTTTAATAGTGTAACTACATTTAAGTGCTGTTCAATAAACTTTAGTTTATTATAACGACTATAACACTTTTCAAGTTTTAATTATAGTTATTGCATTTTTTCACATAAAAGCAAAAAACACAGCAGCATTATCAATTAAGAACTAAAACTAATTATTTAATATTATTAAAAGAGAAAATCCTATACTAAAAACAAAAATCCTACTAAAAAAATCCTATCAATTTGACTTATTGTAACAAAAACGTTCGTCGTCAACGGTTCGGATTGTAGACTGTTGAAGAGACGACAATACTTCATGCAAATTTAATAAATTACCTGAGAACGAGAATAGTATTGCGGCCTTTCCAGGGTTTTTTTCAGGATTTTCTCTTGGGTCCGTTTTTGCAGAGAAGATTGAGTTTAGCTGAACAGCTGGGGTGGCTACCCCCCCCCCCCCCTCCCTATCGGGGGCTGACACTTGTACTCAATAAGTGTAGTTGAGACGGAATGTGTTAAAGCAGGGACACTAAGGGACACTATAAACTGGTTAAAGATTGCAAATGCATAGTTTTTCTTGTGTTGTGAGATGAATTCCAGCCATTTTTTTTAATTGTCGGGTTTCCAACTGAAAACTAATTTCCACACATCACGAATTTAACTCAAACAACTTCATTTTTACTGCACTGAAACTTTGGTGAGAAGATTGAGTTTCAAAACTCAATTCAAGATTGAGTTTTTGGGGCCGTTTAACGGCCCTAAAAAATCCCTGAAAAAAACCCTGCTTTCCTGTCGTAAGACTCGAATCAACTAAACAAGAGCTTTTCGCCTGTTTTTGAATTTGTTTTATGTTACTTTTATTTGTCTTTTACCGCGTACGGGTAAGCATGTCTTTCAGACAATGCTCAAATATATTTCTTGCCGATCAAGATGAACGGCAACGTTGCTTCTTCGCCGATCAAAAACAATTTCCTGCCGATCATTGATCGTTGATCGGCCGTTATTTCGAGCCCTGTTATAATGAGACAACTGCATATTGCAGAAATCAAACCTCAGTCACAGAGATCATAAACACCACGAATGAACTAGAGCAGACGTTATGACCGACCTTGTCATTCACGCCAGCATTTTGTAAGATTTCCACTCTATACTTGGTGACTGCTGCTTTGATCGTCACTGAACCTTGCTTCTGTTTCAGATGACAAACTTGGTATGCTGCAGAATGAAATATTACATGACGAGCTTCAATTGAAAGCAAATGAAGTTTATTCATGGCAACCGGGTATAATATCAGACATGTTTTTAATACTCTGGACTCAAGTAAATGAACGTAATCTCCGAACAAATTACATTCACGATCCAACGTTTCCACAGTCCAGTGTCTTCACCAGGAGTGATCAACGTTCATATCCACCATGACATGGTAGGGGGAGGGGGGGATGCTCTGCCAGCTCTGGTGCCGAGTTGTGTCGGTCATGTGCGCCGCCCGCTCATCAACTACTGTATTTGAATTGTAATTGTTGTTCACAGTTCGCTTATCATCATGTTACTGTATCTCATTTGGTCTCTAATATTTTTTGCTTCATCATGCTGCACTCCCTCTGGCCACCTCTAGGGGGGTGGGGGTCATATACGTACTGAAGAGATGATGAGTCCCACAATAGTAACTTTCGCTGAGCCGCTCGATACTTACACGTGGACTTCATTCGATGTTGGCTGAAGATGTCTTCCTGATATTCCATCTGCACTCCAGTTGTGTCACTGAAATCAAATGACGCCATGTTGTAGTTATTGCTCGACCAGCTCACATCCAGTGACGTGAAATTATCAAACAGACGATTCTTGTGATCGCGAAGAATTATCCGTAGTTTGAGAGCTTGAGGACTGCGCACATGAAACTGCAAGAAATGAAAAGTTTTAGGGACGAACTTTATTTATATTGGATAGCTCTACCAGTTCTAAACTGTTGTTCCTAGAAGTCATACGCGTCATACCTCCTTATTAGGACTCTGGCAATCTTGCAGACTGAGCCTGCGTTCTGATATTTCAGGGAGTTGTACATCAGGCTCGAGGGCGAGAGTTGCGGGCAGCATGCAGGCAAATTTGATGGTCACATTAGAACTTGCTGGATATTGATTTGTTTCTGAAGGTTTGTTGCCAATGGTAACCACAAGATCTTGTTCACCGAGAGCTTTGCACGTGACATGATAGAAATGGAGAGAACGTTTGTCAGAAAATGGATGCTCAGGGATAATGTCTGTTCTGATGGAGACCAAGTCTTCTTTGACGGCACGAACTAAGAAATGAAGGGCATGGCAAATGAGTAAGATTCCGTTCACGACGGACGTGCGATCGAGTCGAAGGCTCATTACAGGCCTTAAAATATATTTTACAGGGCCGTCTGACAAAATGTCCGATGACGTTGAGTTTGGGTCGGACATATGTTTGATGATGTCCGATGACTTTCAGTTCAGTTTGGCTCAGAAATAAGTCTGAATGACACAAATTAATATCAGCACAATGTATTAATTCTGAACTAAATTTTGTGAAGATATTAAATAATCTGTGTCATTCATACTTATTTTCAAGCCAAGATTAACTTTGCTTGCCAATAACGTAACAGCAGTATAAGACTTCGACAACTTAAGCCTGTTTTCCACTTCACCATCTCGCCGCCGCCCCGCGCTCGATTACATTAAAACATTATTTCCGGTTCACTTTTTACTGTATACATTACTCTGATTCTCCATTTAACATACGAGCCTGTAGTCCTAGACTAGGGTACATTTTGATTTACGTCAGACAAAGCTACAGTTCGGTCGGACACCAATACACTCGGGTCGGACAAACAATAAATCTCAGTTTTACTTCGGTCGGACAGAATGTCCGGTGGTTTCCTCTGTACGTCGGACAATTTCACGAAAGGGTCGGACAATGTCCGTGACCGACCGATATTTTAAGGCCTGCATTACCTCTGACTACGCTTCATGTCTGAACACACTTCAACACAGCTGAGAAAAAACTGAAGAACATGATAACGAAGAGAACCAACCACAAATCTACTTACGCCCACGGCTTTTCAGGCACAAGAAAGCCAACCCTAGACCAGCGGACTTAAGTCAGAGGCAAGGGACGCTAACTACATCTATCACATCCCAACCTATCCACAACTCAACTTACATGAGTTTTCCAACGAAAGTTATCCAAGCTAAGTCAACATCCTATCCTTGACCAACAGTAGACTTAGGTATATTACCTTCTTCATAATGTGTAGATCTATCATGTACCCAGGGCTGAGGTCCTCCCTGAAGGATGAGATTTTTCGCTGAACCAAGGCTGACTACAGCGACATCGTCTGGATCTAGAGTCTGGAAAATACAATGTAATTAAGAAGCAATTTAATGTAATTTGCGATGAAAAGTTTTCAAAACCTAAGATGTTGTTCTGCAGTACTGTAGGTTTGTACTAACCGTAAGAGGAAAATAGGCAGCGACAGTGACGGTAGCTTTAATATTGATGTCTTTATATTTATATCTCGCCGTTACAATCACATATCCTTGACGCAATGCCTTCAAATACACAGAGGTGCATCCTGGGGCGATGATCTCGTCATTTTCGTCTAGAAACACAATATCACATTCATCATGTTACTGTGACCGACAACCCTGTAGCTATGATCGACGAGGCTTCGGTACACCGGGGTTTCAGTGGCGCAGTCTTCAGAGCAACCGCCTGTCACCTCTGAGATCGTGGGATTCTCGCTATGGACTCATGTGAAAAGAGTGAGTCAACACTCTGCCGAAAGTCGTGGATTTTCTCCGGACGCTCTGGTTTCCTCCCACAGGGAAAGTTGACAGGGTGGGTTAGGATAAACACAGTCAAGAAAGTAATATCACAAATTCACAATTGTTGTAAAGATAAAATAGTCTTGCCTAAGTACAGTAAGTAATTACTGTATGTAAGCGTATAATACTTGATGTAAAGAGCATTTAATCATATTGACATGTAAATTAGCGCTATAGAAATGTTAATAATTACAGCAGCTCATCTGAGGAATCGTCTTTGTCTGAACAGCAGAAATCAGACAAATCATCCGTAAAGACAAACTATCTTGAACAGTCAAAGAATAATTTTACCTGAGGTTCCGATGACTTGAAAAATTGAATGGTCTGATACAGTCACACTCAAATTCATCTTACGACAATCATCAAAGAATTTCAATTCATTGCTCTCTGGAAGATAAACACCAGAGGTTATTATACACAGATTGTACAGAGATGTTATTTTCAATGTTGTTCTATATCAAACCTGGAGTAAGATATATAAACCTGGAGTATGATAAATCAAACCTGGAGTGAGATACGCCGCGGCCGCCAGAGGAAGCTTTAATTTTGTTCCAATTTCAACTTCTACTTTTGAAGGAACAAATTTCAGATTATCTGGAGGCAGCACATACACCTGAAATAAATATATAAAATATCAAGTTTCATGATGTCTCAAAATGTCATACATAATCTAGGGTAGGTATACTTTGGTATTTATGTTGATATTGATGTTTATACTGTATGAGCCAATTATAATAACTTGCTTGTGAAACACTCAAGTGGTTGATGTTTTGTCAAATTGGAGTGAGCAACTCGCATACATCAACTTTCATGAACTTTGACTGTTTCATATTTTAAAGAGAGTTCAGGAAAGAGATTTTGCTCATTTGATCAATTGGTAACGAGTAGCTAGAATTCTTTACGTCTCATGCATGAATGTACCAGAAGAAATCTTGGAAATTGGAGCATGGTTCAAGATTCTGAGATTAACAATTCCACAATTTCTAAATTTTCTTACCTGCGCTAGGCCATAATGCATTGAATTCTCTGAGTCATGAGCCTTCACTTCAGTCATTCCTGTGTCAGTGGTAGTTGTCAATAATCCTCGAGTATTCACACTTGCTATGTTCGTCTCATCTGACGTCCAGCTATACCGGCCGCTTCCTCCTGTAGCCTTAAGTTGGTATCTGTAGTATTCACCACTGACTGGTATCCATGGAAACACAAGGATTGCAGGCACAACAGAGATGGGAACATATATCACAACTTCCTGTTCACCTTCGACAGGCGGGTCCAAGGTCACCACTTCGCCAGTTGTTATTAACTGAAAAATATTATATCTCACAATTACTTAAAATGTTGCTTGGATCAAATATTTTGTGATTAATCTTACCTTGACACTAGCAAGTACTGCATGCAGAACAGTTTTTCCACTTTTTAGCGCTTTAGTGAGATGATACGATCCATTGTTTGACGAGTGCGACACAGAGAAATAAGTTTCTGGAAATGTTGTCTTGATCATAATGTTCTGTCAAAATAGAAATATTTAAGTTTGAGGAATACCAGAGACATTCATGAGATTTCACTTCCCCTCCTGCTGTCTTTCACAGTTTCACTGGCTAGATTCAATACATCTGATTGGTTGATGGTCTCTTAATGGTAGCATATTACTATGGAATGAAGGGGTAAAAGTTAAGATAAGTGAATCTATAAATTGAAAGTTTTCTACCTCAGCAACATAGAGTTTGTGGTTCATCTTGTCATAAACATCAACTGTGATGACATATTGACGGTTAGTTTCCAATACCCAGATGCCTCCAGGAAATACAGAAAATCCTGAATATGAAACATGAAAAGATTACATTCCACAGCAACAGATGCTGGTCGACCTCTCACAAATGTTGATACAACTTTTTGACTAATTCTGTTAAATTATCATAATTTTGGGTGCTAAACTCCCCTTGAAACTGTCAAATTTGATGTTGCTCCGATGCAAATCTGGTATTGTGTAACTGGGGCCTTATAGGAGTGACAAAATTAGTTACTGTATCTCTCATTACTATTTATTTGCCTCCAAGACTCATACTGTATAATGTAATAACTATCAGCTGACCATCATCCTAATGGTACTTGCTGAAGAGACAGTGAAATACATTACCTAAATGGTCAGGCTGAACAACATGAATTCCAGCTGATGGCTGTCTTGAAGATGACTCGTCTTTCATATCTCACAAATGTCAGGGAGAACAAAGATGGCTGCATTGCAAAATTAAACATGGCCAGATAACTCTACTTTGCCTAGTACCTTGCTGACAAAGGGCCTTCCAATTAACACTGTGCAATGTGCTCATCGTTCTTGACCAACTAGTGAAACATCACATCATTCCAAATGATGTACAAAAAAATCAGACTGGGAATTATTAATACCATCCATATTTATAGATTTAAACAAAGCCAATCAGAATCTGTTGTCTTATAATTCATAAACGAGTGCTTTTGCATGCACACTAACAGCATGAACCTATTTTATAAAAATTTAGACACACTTTTTTTCCAACTAATTTGAACCCTGAACTCTGAGCTCTATATCAAAGGATACTATTGTCGATCAACATGACTTGGGTATATCCCAGAGCACGACCAATGACTCGTGACGAAGGTTCATCCAAAGTCCCAACTGTTGTATTACTTAGAACAAACTTAAACTGAGAAGAAGGCATCTCTATATCTACAACACAAATAATATCATTTGTATTTTTTATTATGTTACTTGATTTGGAGGAAAACACAAATTATTCCTATTCAAGGTTTGTCTTACCAATGACAGAATTTTGTCTGAATCTCTTCACGCTGTATTTGACGGCAGTGTTGATCATGATGTAGACGTCCATAGATGGAACAATCATCAGGTTATCAATAACCAATAATTTCACACTGTGCGCCTCAACATCCTACAACAACATGTTCAAATTACAATGAATTCAGAGCAAATGAGTTCTTGGCAAATTGCTCAGGCAGACAACAAGTTATAGTAAATTTAACTTCAGTTATGATGGAATAACTGACCTTGAAAGTTGGATGACTTAATTTTGCTTTAACAATGGCTGTTCCAGTATTAATGCCTTCAACAATGATACTGTTTCCTCGCAAACCCTTTAAATGCAATAAATTGAAAACGTTATACACAGACTTGCAAAATGATGCAATACTACTCTGAAGTACAAAAATACCTTGGCTTCCAATGCGTATATAGCAACTGACGTCTCATTTATTGATTCAGCAAACGGAACAATTCTGGAAAAATTAATCGTCATTGATATGTTTAACAATTTAAAATAACCAACAAACCCTAATCCAGGTTCAAGCTTTGCCTAATCTCAACCATAATATTAACTCTATCCTAATCTTATCCCAACATTGAGCTTACCTTAAAACCGAAGAAGCTTCAATTGATCCTTTGACAGTGATCAGCTCCCAGTCAAAAGCAAGACCATCAAGAGAGGAAAATAAATTCCCAGTATCATCAAATGCTATGACGTCAAGAAGTTCAGGAGACTGTCCTAGCAGAAGTTCCCTTGTTGTTGTGGTGATTTCAATACGATTGATACGATTCACAAACACATCAGCACGCAGAATATTCCCTGTAACTGTTGTACAAAAATTGTAAACAAACTATACAAGGGCTACCAGGATTTATTTTTATTTGTTTGAACTGTCTGTGCCAGTGTAGGTAGTGGCAACAGTATTATCAAGCGTTTGTTGGTAGGAATGCAACTATCTGAAAAAGATAAGGAAAATTTTGACATTTTGAGCAAAGGCCCTTCGTCTGGAGCCTTTGCTCAAAACATTGAAATTCTCCTTGTCTTTTTCAGGTACTTGCATCCCTATGTATTTTGATTTGCCTAATATATCACAATAATGGCATAATCAACAATCACAAGCTTGAAACAAAATACCTTTTTCCTCCGCAATAATGATGGCTGTTTGTTTCTCAGGTTTTGAAGATTGTGACGTCACAATAGCTTGTTGAGAACAACTATCACCTCCTGACAATGCGAGAAAAATGACTTAGCAAATAAATCTTTAAAATAGATGTTTCATCTTGGACTCAATATTTGGGGTTTGTTTCATACTTTACACAGGGCAATGGTATGACATGGATAATGAACTACAACTTAAATTGGATTACATTGTGGTCATTTAATTAACCTGGTAATTTCCATATGATCGTAAAGATTGAGTCACAATCTTTCTCTTCAGCCAAAATACAACTTATGATTTATATGTGGTTTACAGGTATAAACTATTAGACTGTCCGTTGAGAAAGATTTTATTTTTACGAGCATATGGAAACCAGGTTTTTGTGTACAACCAAGCAAATTCTGCCTACCTTTGTATTGAGAAGTTTTCTGTACTGATCTAACTTTGGCAATTTCAGGTCTGGATGATGTCCTGACAATAAAATTTTTTATGCAAAGATATGTCAGAGATGTTGAATTACACACAAGTATGTTATATTGTATATCAGCTTATGGTTTTAAGTCCACATTGGAAAGGTTGCTGGTACAAAATGTTCTAAAGTACACAGATAGTGATGGCATACCTGAATTGGCTTAAAACAAGTATCAGACAATAATATTGGGTATATCTCTGGCACATAGACATGTCATTTACTGGGGGGTGAGGGGGTTAACCCCCCCCTAGAATCTCTCTAACCCCTCTTATAAAGAGTTCAACCCCACCAAAATTTTCACTTCACCCCTCTTATTTTGTGTGAAAGTCTTTAACCTTAATGCATAACCTCTGCAGAAGCTCGCTTAGTGGTGCCGCTTGCACCCAACTAGAAATTTTTCTACCCCCCCCCTTTAAACGAAAACCCACCCTTGCCCTGCCTAAATTTTAATATTCCCCCAGTATTGGCCAGTATTAGGAGCAGGGTTGGATATAAGAACATTTTTTCAAAAATAAAATGTTCTTATTTCTTATATTAATATAAGAACATTTTTTCCAATATAAGAACACTTTCAAAAACTTTCATGACGTCATATTAACAAATCATCCAAAATCCTAAAATGACGATTCAACTTCAATTTTAGATGTTGCTGTAATATAACCTCTTGGCTTTAAAAGTTATAAAAATAGTTGTTACTGCTGTATTTATACGACTATTATCTGTATATTTTATTTTCAGGATGAATGTCAAATAGTTAAAATTTACTACTTCGAAGTAGAATAATTAATGAGAATAATATAAGAAAATATAAGAACATTTTTGCCTCCCAAAAAAATGTTCTTATATAATATGAGAACATATAAGAACAACTAATATAAGAACATTTGCCAACCCTGATTAGGAGTGGCTGGAGTGTTGCATATAACAAAATATGACATATTTAATAACCAAACAACTTCAAATCTCGACGATGTTATGTTAACAAAATGAAACAAGGTTTTTACATTAAATACTCATACTATAACCTAATATTAATTCCCAAAGCATAGAAGCATAAATAAACACGTGCAAAAATAACAAGATATACAAACCATTTATAACAGCCGTCATTTGCCCCGATTGTAAAATTCACATTCGCAGAACCAGCTGTCGAGTATGGGAGAAGAATACTCAATACATTTAGAGTATCTGGTTGTCTTTCACAAGATACAATACAAAATAATAAAAGAAAATTTTCCCAAACCAGAACTTTCCAGCCCGCCATATTTGTCGAATGTGGTTTGTTCCCTTCTTACATGAAGTGTTTTACGATACGTGCTTCCACTGTTTAATCATAACTTTCCTTATTCGCAGGTTTTCCCCACCGTCATTTGCATGTAAAGATGAACAGTGGACACACTTAAAAACACGCAAGTTGTTAGAGATCTGCAAACAAGTTGTAACAAGGTTGTCATCGTCATCGTCATCATCATCATCATCATCATCATCATCATCATCATCATCATCATCATCATCATCATCATCATCATCATCATCATCATCATCATCATCATCATCATCATCATGTGAGATTTTTGCGCGTAAAGAGATAAAAAAAATATTATCTATTCTCCCATGAAACTTTCGCTGGCTTCACTAATACTAAACAAAGATAAGATAAGAACACTGACTTTTCTTAGCTTCCTTCTCGTCTAAAATCTTTCTTTTCTACCACCATCTCTTCCTAATCAGCTTTCTCCTTCTGGCGCTAATCAAACTACATATGATTTCTCAACTATCTGAAAAAGAAAAACAAGCTGAGCTAATGGAACCCTTCCTGAGGTCGTTTACCTCTTACCAAAGAGCACCTATAACAACACGTCATTTGTATTGGATTATATATTGATTATAAAACCCTGTGAACAGGATCATAAATATATTGCTTATCTATATATTAAATAAAATGTTTAAAATTATTCAGATTTACAAGTCACCAATATAGTGATACAAGGTTGTATATATACACGTTTGTCCATTCCTTTGGACACAAAGCGTTCGCTAGAAATATTATTTTAAACTGCAGCAGATGTTGGTCAACCTGCAGTTATCAGAGTGAGAAAATTATGTTCATTCTTTTCATCATATGCAGTAGTCTTGTGTTTAGAGGCGAATAAATAGAATAGAGAGATGTAAGTGTCAAGTTGACCAGTATCTGCTGTAATTCTGAGTGAAACGCCAATATTTAAAGATGTCAGTAGTTCTCTCTGAAGTATCTAAGTGGCATTTGCTCCAGAAGGAAACAGCTCACGAGAGATCAAACCATCACCTTTCTTTTTATCAAACCACTGGTTACAAGGAAACGGAACCATTTCAGAGTTTTCTAACTTCGTCACCTCAACCTTGTCCAACATCCAGCCTGCGCCAAAGCCTTTGTTATCATGTTCAATGCGTAATCTCTTGAGCTGGATCGGAAGTCAAGAGCTTCCAGCGTAAACACATCCCTTTGACCTTTCTCGAATAAATTAACCATCTTCTTGGTCAGTTTCCGCTGACCTGTATCACCGTTGTCACCGTAGATGACAATGCTGACGTTAGCATCAGTGCCAGCATGTGCAACGTCAGCGGTATATACGGCAACCTCGTATTGTATCGGCTTAAGTTCTGAAATTTTTGAATATATACTTGTAAAGCGATTGTATGCAATAAATGGGGTGGGGACATTAAAACAAAAGTCATAAATTTTAGGGTAAGGATTATTGCAATTGTAAACCCATTACAACCCAATACTTTATTGCATACAATGGCTTTACAATTACAATAAATTATTGGTTACAATGTGCGGAACAGCTGAGTTTAGAGCATGTTACATACAGAGTATGGGTAAATGTCAGATTTGGGGCCATCTCACTCGATCTAAAAAACCATGCAACACATGTAAAGGGCTTATCAGATTATTTGATTGAAAAGGTATAGCAAAGATTTCATATTGCGGCGATTACTGTAATATATGTAGTTGCCTAACCACATGCCTTCCAGTTTGAGTCAAACAATTATTAAGGAATGGGATAAGTTGATATCCAACGCTTTGACAAGATACATACCTCTTATGACGGCAAGCCTTGATCTTTCTGATGACTTACATTCCAATCTCACTCCATCTCCTTTATTTGAGGTCAGTGGTATCCACTGTCGACACGGGAAGACAAACCTAAAAGGTGGATAAGCAGTTCTCAATAAAACTGCAATATTTTTAGGACATGCTAGATGAAAAGCTGCCTTTGCTGATAGATAGACCAACTGAAACACATGTAGTTTCATGAAGATTTCAACATGTTCAATACACCGTATTTCAGCGTCTACCATTGTGTCGCACAATACAGATTTGACTTTCACTATCGCTATACCATTAAGGAACCACTAATGGTACCTGTTGAATAGTAATCAACATGATTTCACAGAACGAGGCATGACCTCAGTCATTAAACTGAACAAGCATATTTAGTAAAAAATGAAAGTAATTTATCACTAACCTCTCTCCATTATCAGTATTTTTTACCACTACTTCATGTAAGTACCAAGATTGTTCTTTCTCAGATTTCTTCTGCTCAGGTTTCGGATGATGACCAACGATCACTTCGCGTACCGCACCCAGAGGTTTGGTAACGAATTTAAAAGTATCAGTGTGGCCTCGTCTTAGGACTTTATTCTTGACGCTGTTTTCAATTTTATACACCTGAGATTTACGTTTTTCTCCCAGTAGTATGACAGAAGCGTTCTGGTTTGTTCCTGCGTTTTGCTTGTCACTTGTCAGCAGTGTTATCTCGAATACTAAACAAATTAATAGACGACAACTGTTAGTATGCTAGTAAATATTCAATATTTGGACATGTCGCCCAGTAAAGCAGAATCATGAGTTCCATTCAGTGCAAAATGTCGCATGATGGATTTCTTGCGATCACTTTCTTTTGAAATGTGTGCAGTCAGTGAATCAACTAGAGCTAATGAGATTTGTTCCAGCAGACTGTTTGTATTTCAAAAGAAAACAATCGCAAAAAGTCGATCACGCAGCATTTCGCACTGGATGGAAATCCGCCTTTAATCGAGCAGGCTTAACTCAGCGGCGTATAAAGGCAGCGCGCTCATCGCCAGCCATGCTCTTCCAGTATTGAACATTTCTCAGTATATATTGCAATGTTGTTGTAAACAAAGTTGTATACCTGCAACAGGGGAGTCCGTCGTTTCATCTCTGTTAGCACAAGCTATCTCTCTTAACAAGCTCCCGTCTTCTTTATCTTTACCAAGCCAGCGATCACACGGGAATTCATAAACTTTCTTCGTCGTTTGATCTTCAATATTTATTCTCTCCAAGAACCAACTTGCTTTCAAGAATTTATTGTCGTGCCAAACACGCACCTTCGTCAGTTCACCTGCAATAAAAACAGGCGAGTAAGGAATTCCGCAGTTCATAGCAGTAAAATACGTAAAAAATAACTTTATTATGGATAGCTCCAAACGTGCTAAACTGTTCACATTGAAAGTCCAGTAAACGTCAGCCTTCGTTAATGCAATGTTAATCACTACAGGAGGAAACCTAGCTAATAACTAAATTTTACTTTTACTGGATAATTGTATCGGTTCTAAACTGCTCCTCCTGAGGCTCAGTAAGGATCAGCCCCGATAATTCAGAGGTTATGGAATGGTAAGATTAGAAACATGGATAGACATTGCATGAGAAGGAAAGTTAGGAAACATCACAGGCTATGATGATATGAAATAAAGAGATGGAGAGCTGTCAGAGACATAACTGCGGTATTCTTGGATTTCATTACGACATTAGTGAGCTTAAGCAAGTGACGTTTTTGACAACACGAACGGCATGAGTAACGTCAGAAGACTGGGTCAAGGGCTGTGATTGGTGATAAACGTCAACTTTACTTCCGGTCGACGCCCGTGTTGTCAAAAACGTCACTTGCTTAAGCTCGCTATTATGCAGTAACTCTGACGGGGGGGGAGGGGGGGGGGGTCAACCTCAAATGTATTGATGCTTATGCTGTACTGGAGTGAGGAAATGATACGAAACTCCATGTATTTGCCACCAAACACAAGCCTAATACATAAAACGAACAATCGACTCACTGTGATAACGGTGTTTTGTTTAGAGTTGACCCCCCGTCACGTTCGTGACGTCATATGAAATCCAAAAATAGAGCGAAGACGAGATGGATGGGCTGTGTTTAAAAGAATGTCAAGATCTTACCTAAACTGAGCATATCTTTGAGCACAAACACATCAGTATGTCCGCGTTCAAACTTGTCTTTATATGTCTCGGAATTCTTCAGCGAAATCTCTCCTGAGTCTCCATATTCACCAAACATAATGATAAATACATTGGCGTCTGTTCCCGCGCCTGACAGGTCGCCTGTGATCACATCCACCTTGTAACTGGTATCTGAAATATTTCAAATATCAGATCAATGTGACATTTGCCACGAATACTTTAGAGATATGTTATCTTGTACCTGGAATATTGTCAATACACTGAGTTTAGGATTAAAATGCTTTAAGGGCGAGTGTTAGCTTTTTTAAGGCCTTTTCCACAACGGTACCGTTGCGTACCGAATCGTATCAAAAATATTTCAAAATTTAGTAAATATTGGTAGCAAACCAAAAAGTTGATTTTGATATGCGAATAAAACTGGAAGTACGTGAATTTATCGATTTATTTTCAATTGAATTTAAGGTCAGGCCGCCTTCACTATAAATTGTACTACGCTTGCCCGTTGCCCGGATTTCGGAGTCAAATAGGCTTCTTACTTAGAAAATTTTCGGATGATCGAAAAAATTTTTTAATCATAGACCGACTTAGAAAGGTTCAAAACGAATATTCAGGGCCGCCCAGAGGGGGGCAAAGGGGGCAAATTGCCACGGGCCCCGAGTTGCTGGGGGCCCCTGAAAAATTTTTGTACGGCCCCAGCCTTTTGTGTGTGTCAAATATTTCCGCGCAAAGGACAAGATATCTGCATTCTTGGGCTCAGTACCGAATTTTGGCATAAAAAAATGAGATAAAGTCCCTCGAAAGCATTTGCAACGTGCTCGTCCGGCAAAATTTTCTACTCCGGAAAATTTTTTTACACCTAAAATGGTACACTGACCGAAAATTGTTTGGCGACGGGGGGGGGGGGATACAAAAAATTTGCCCCGGGCCCCCGCCAACCTCTGGGCGGCCCTGCGCATATTAACGGAGCTAGGTTTGGCTCAGGGGAATATTAAAGCACATTTTCACATGACTATCATAGCACTGAAGCCGTATGCAAATGATTCCTCGCCCGTCCACATTACTATAAATTACACTACGCTTTCCCGTCCATTAATATAAATTACACTATACGCTTGCCCGTTGCCCGGATTTCAGAATCAAATAAATTTTTGGGAAACCGAAAAAAATTTTTCGTCATAGATCGACTTAGAAAGGTTCAAAACGCATATTAACGGAGATAGGTTTGGCTCAGGGGAATTTTAAAGCACATTTTCACATGGCTATCATAGCACTGAGTCGTATGCAAATGATTCCTTGCCCGTCCCGATTACTATAAATTACACTACGCTTGCCCGTCCATTAATATAAATTACACTACGCTTGCCCGTTGCCCGGATTTCAGAATCAAATAAATTTTTGCCAGACCGAAAAAATTTTTTCGTCATAGATCGACTTAGAAAGGTTCAAAACGCATATTAACGGAGCCTGATAGGTTTGGCTCAGGGGAATTTTAAAGAACATTTTCACATGGCTATCATAGCATGGAGTCGTATGCAAATGATTCCTTGCCCGTCTCGATTACTATAAATTACACTACGCTTGCCCGGATTTCGGAGTCATATAAAGCTAGGCTTGTGACTTAGAAAATTTTTGGCTGATCGAAAAAATTTTTTCGTCATAGATCGACTTAGAAAGGTTCAAAACGCATATTAACGGAGCCTGATAGGTTTGGCTCAAGGGAATTTTAAAGAACATTTTCACATGGCTATCATAGCATGGAGTCGTATCCAAATGATTCCTTGCCCGTCTCGATTACTATAAACTACACTACGCTTGGCCGGATTTCGGACTCATATAAAGCTAGGCTTGTCACTTAGAAAATTTTTGGCTGATCGAAAAAGTTTTTTCGTCATAGATCGACTTAGAAAGGTTCAAAACGCATATTAACGGAGATAGGTTTGGCTGAGGGGAATTTTAAAGCACATTTTCACATGGCTATCATAGCACTGAGGCGTATGCAAATCAATCCTTGCCCGTCCCGATTACTATAAATTACACTACGCTTGCCCGGATTTCTGAGTCAAATAAAGCTGGGCTTGTCACTTAGAAAATTTTTGGCTGATCGAAAAAATTTTTTCGTCATAGATCGACTTAGAAAGGTTCAAAACGCATATTAACGGAGATAGGTTTGGTTCAGGGTAATTTTAAAGCGCATTTTCACATGGCTATCATAGCACTGAGCCGTATGCAAATGATTCCTTGCCCGTCCCGATTACTATAAATTACACTACGCTTGCCCGGATTTCGGAGTCATATAAAGCTAGGCTTGTCACTTAGACAATTTTTGGCTGATCGGAAAAATTTTTTCGTCATAGATCGACTTAGAAAGGTTCAAAACGCATATTAACGGAGATAGGTTTGGCTCAGGGGAATTTTAAAGCACATTTTCACATGGCTATCATAGCATGGAGTCGTATGCAAATGATTCCTTGCCCGTCTCGATTACTATAAATTACACTACGCTTGCCCGTCCATTAATATAAATTACACTACGCTTGCCCGTTGCCCGGATTTCAGAATCAAATAAATTTTTGGCAGACAGAAAAAATTTTTTCGTCATAGATCGACTTAGAAAGGTTCAAAACGCATATTAACGGAGATAGGTTTGGCTCAGGGCAATTTTAAAGCACATTTTCACATGGCTATCATAGCAATGAGTCGTATGCAAATGATTCCTTGCCCGTCTCGATTACTATAAATTACACTACGCTTGCCCGTCCTTTAATATAAATTACACTACGCTTGCCCGTTGCCCGGATTTCAGAATCAAATAAATTTTTGGCAGACCGAAAAAATTTTTTCGTCATAGATCGACTTAGAAAGGTTCAAAACGCATACTAACGGAGAAAGGTTTGGCGCAGGGGAATTTTAAAGCGCATTTTCACATGGCTATCGTAGCACTGAGCCGTATGCAAATGACTCCTTGCCCGTCCCGATTACTATAAATTACACTACGCTTGGCCGGATTTCGCAGTCATATAAAACTAGGGTTGGCACTTAGAAAATTTTTGGGTGAGCGAAAAAATTTTTTCGTCATAGATCGACTTAGAAAGGTTCAAAACGCATACTAACGGAGATAGGTTTGGCTCAGGGGAATTTTAAAGCGCATTTTCACATGGCTATCATAGCACTGACCCGTATGCAAATGATTCCTTGCCCGTCTCGATTACTATAAATTACACTACGCTTGCCCGTCCATTAATATAAATTACACTACGCTTGCCCGTTGCCCGGATTTCAGAATCAAATAAATTTTTGGCAGACAGAAAAAATTTTTTCGTCATAGATCGACTTAGAAAGGTTCAAAACGCATATTAACGGAGATAGGTTTGGCTCAGGGCAATTTTAAAGCACATTTTCACATGGCTATCATAGCAATGAGTCGTATGCAAATG